ATACAGTTTATATACATATATATATATTAACTATTGCTGGATTTGTAATTTTGACCAGGCATTCTTGAGGTACACTCATCCCTGCTAGTCAGGAAGATTATGTTTTTTTTTTCTAATTTACCATTACTGCTTGCTTACTGGATAGAGGTAATCATATTGACTATTTGTTCAGTGAAAAGACTGACATGTTATATAAGAAGCCGCATTACTGATCCTGAAGCTGCATTGCTAGACCAGAAAATAATTGTGTCACCCATCAGCCTGTTCATTGCACTAGATGTGTATGAATCACAAGATTGATTGTACCGAATTACACATCATTAACAGAGTATCAGAAAACAGTAATTCCATTTTTAGAAAGTATACCGTGTAAGTGAACAGAACATTCTTATATAAATATAGGATTTCTATTTTACATTTATTTTGTTAAATATATCTAAAACATTTATTTGGTGTACATATAAAAAAGGACACTTGTTTTTTTTAAAAAACAAGAGTCACTTTCTAGTGCTCCATGGAGTGCCAATATTAGCTGTAACATGGAGTACATTGGACATACCTCCCAACTTTCTTAGTTGAGAAAGAGGGAACATTATTGTACAAAATATGTAGGCAATGGACACACTCCTTGCCACGTCCCCAGTTACATGGATCACCAAGAATAGTTCTATTTTCCTTAACCACTACTTTTCCTTTATACTGGCTTTTCAAAATAACAACTGCAATAATCTAAAGAACGGATTAAAGGTTTTGTTCGATATCATCTTTTGATAGATAGATAGCTAGATAGTACATTTTTTTTTCCGTTTCAAAAGATTTTTTATTTTTTTCCACATATAAAAGTTGAGTTACAAACAGTGCGTACACCCAAACATTTGGGCATCAGCATTTAAAAGCTTTACAATCAGTGGTTTTTGCACTTATGAAATAAAAATGAATACAATCTATTGCGAGGTATATTAATTCGTGCTCAAGCTGCGTCCGAGACTTGAGTGGATTCGGTCTTCCTGGAACTAGGCAGCGAGGATTTTTGCAATCACAAAAAGAACATAATGGGGGAACAGGGAGGTGTGGTGAGAGGAGGGGGGGGGGGGTAGAGAGGGAAGGGAAGTGAAGAGGGAATGGGTGTAGTCGTGACGAGAGTTCCAGCATGCACCCTGGTCATTAGATATTAGGAGGTATTGGTGATGGAGGAGCTATTATAGGGTCACCAAACGAGTATTAAAGGAGGGTGGGAGGAAATGACATATCCATGGCTCCCAGATTGCCTCAAATGTACTGGTGCGGTCCATTAAACGTGCTGACAGTTTCTCGTTAGAGAAGATCCAGTGGATTCTATTTTTGAATGTTTGGAATGGGATTTTACGGGTGAAACACGAGGTGGCTATGGTGTGCTTAGCGGCCGTGAGGACATGAAGAACCAGTTTGAATTTGAGATGAGAAACATTCACGGGTTTAACGTTAAGTAGTGCAGTTTGAGGGGTTGGTGAGACATGGACTCCCGTAAGGGTGGAGAGCATTTTGAACACTCTAGACCAGAATGCGTAAGTGATACGACATGACCACCACATATGGACATATGTTCCGCTGTCAGGGCAACCACGAAAGCATGAGCCTGTACAGTTCGGTGCAAAGTGTTGGGCCTGGTAAGGGGTGATGTACCAACGAAGTAGTACTTTGTAGTTTGTTTCCAAAACTCTGGCACACGTTGAGCTAGAGTTGGTGGAGGTCCATATTTGGGACCAGGTGTCTTCTGTGAGGTCAAGATTCAGGTCTTGCTGCCAGCGGTCCATATATGGGTGGTGCAGGGATGTGGTCGGTTGTAGGGATGTCAGGTAGAGTTGTGAGATAATTCCTGGGGAATGCGGGTCATGTTTGCATATTCTCTCAAAGGGTGATAATGCCAAAAGATTACCTTTCAGGTTAGCAGTGGCGTGAATAAAGCTTTTAACCTGTAGGTATCTAAAAATTTCTGAGGACGGGAGCTCATATTTAGTTTGGAGGTCAGGGAAAGGCAAAATTGCGGAGTGGGAGAACATTGAGGAGAAGCGTGTTATCTCCTTTTCTCTCCATTTGTGGAAGACCGCTGTGGAGTCATATGCTGGTGGGAAGGCTGGGTGGTGAAAGAAGGAGAGCATGGGTAGATGTGGAGACAGGAAGCCGCTTGAATACTTGGAGTTGTCCCAAATGCGCAAGGACTGACGTGTTATGGCGCTATTGATAGTGTGTCTGTCTTTGGGTGCCATCCACAGCAAATTATCTATGGCATACGGGTCACAGTCCAAAGCCTCGATCGAAACCCAGAGCGGGGTTTCATCTGTGGCATGGTACTTAGTTATTGTTGCTAATTGAGCTGCAATATAATATTTCTGGAGATCCGGCACTCCCAGCCCACCGGCGCATCTGGTCTGATACATTGTTTTTAGTGGTATTCTGGGTTTTTTGTGTGACCATATAAAGGCAGAAAGCCGTTTTTGGAAAGCCTTGAGGTGATGGGCGGGTATTGGCGCTGGAAGAACCCGGAAGGGGTATAACAGCTTAGGTAACAGGGTCATTTTGACCGCCGCAATTCTGCCTAGCCATGAGATGGGGTAGGTATGCCAGATCCTCAGAAGGTTCTTAAGCTTAGTGAAAAGTGAGGGGTAGTTTGCCGAGAACAATGATTGGTAGGTAGAGGTTAGTTGTATGCCTAGATATTTGAGTGAGGATGGTTCCCATTTAAATGGGTATGCCGCTTTAAGCTGATCAAGTAGGAGCGGGGGTAGTGTAACATTTAGGGCTTTTGATTTCGTTGGGTTTAAGTGCAGGCCTGAGAGGTGACTAAACAGGTTCACTGTGTGTAGCAAATTGGGAAGAGAGATGAGGGGGTTAGAGAGGAAAACCAGAATGTCGTCCGCAAACAGGCATAGCTTATGATGGTGTCCTGCTAAGGGGATTCCTGTGATGTCTGGGTGTTCTCTAATCAGCTGTGCTAGGGGTTCAATGGCCATGGCAAATAGGATAGGGGATAAAGGGCAACCCTGTCTGGTGCCTTTCCGTATGGGGAAGTGGTGTGATCTATGTCCCGCATATCTCACCGAGGCCGTAGGGTTGGAATACAGTGCAGCGATCCAGGTGCAGAATCCAGATCCAAAGCCCCATCTGTTGAGTATAAATGACAGGTATTGCCAGGACAAGGAGTCGAAGGCCTTTTGCATGTCTAATGAGAGAAGCATGATCGGGATGTGTCTTTGATTAGCTTTTTCAATGAGGAGACAGGCTCTACGCACGTTGTCTCCCGGTTGGCGTTGGGGAATGAAACCAACCTGGTCTTTGTGAATGAGGTCAGGGACGATTAGATTGAGTCTAGTTGCTAATATTTTGGCTAGTAATTTAATGTCAACGTTGAGAAGTGAAATTGGTCTAAAATTAGCTCATTGGGTGTTATCTGTGTCTGGTTTGGGGATCATGCAAATGGTGGCCGAGAGGGACTCTGCCCTGAACTGCGACCCTGTCCGTATGGCGTTGAAGGCAGCTGTCAACATTGGGGCGAACTTCTTGTAATAAGTGGCCGTAAAGCCATTTGGGCCAGGCCGTTTGTTTAGTTTGAGCGTTTTTATCGCTGCAACTACTTCCAACTCCGTAATAGGAGCGTCAAGCGATATGCGGGCTTAATCAGTCATTGCCGGCATATGGATTGTGGAGAGCAGATTAGAGGCTACAAGAGGATCAAAGGGGGTAGTGGAGTTTAGAGTGTGGCTAGATGCGTGGCGAATTCCTGTACTACTTTGTGAGGGTTGCTGGACATAGAGTCATCAGAGAGGCGGAGGCAGAGGGTTTTTTGGTGTAAATCTATTTTGTGTAATCTTCTTGCTAGGAGGGCCGTTTGTTTATTACTTTGGAGGTAAAATTTGTGTTGGGTCCTACGAAGACTTTTATCAGCGAAGCTTGCCAGTATGAGGTTGAGTTCACGTCTGGTCTTTTCTAGGGTGTGCTTGTGAGCTGGGGAAGGGTGTAATCTGAACACTCTGGAGGGTCATTGAATTTCGTTTCAAGGTCCTACAGGAGGGCCATTCTTTGTTTTTTAAGGGTCGATGCTATGCGAATACACGTGCCTCTTATGACTGGTTTGTGCGCTTCCCAAAGTGTGACCGGCGGCATGTAGAGTAGTATTGTGGAGTATGTACTCTTGTATAGCAGCTTGTATTGCTATTTCAGTGGGTTTATCAGCGAGAAGGGAATCGTTCATGGTCCAAGAGCGATCTGTGTGGGCCGACCACATTAGAGGACATCAAAAGGGTCACTCCCTGGTGGTCAGTCCACGAGAACGGGACAATGCGCGACTCAACCACTGTGGGAAGGGTGGGATGTGGTACAAAAAAATGGTCGATCCTAGAGAACGAGTTGTGTGGGTTGGAATAGAAGGTGTATTCTCCGGCGGAAGGGTGTAGTTCCCTCCAGCAATCCACTAATGAGTATTGGGAAAGGAGTGTACGGAAGGCTCTAGAATTTTCAGAGGGTGGAGCGCTCATCGTCGTTCGGTCTAGACTCAGATAGTACATTTTTATAGTGAACTATACAGTATATTAGCCCAAAATGGGTAATGATCGTGGAGGACAGAGGGACTAAGCGATGCAAAAGAAGAACTATCAGGGTAATTCTCAAAAGGGTGAAGGGTTTGGAGAAGGCAGGAGAAGTGAACAATCTAGGCCAAAAGAGCTGATCTGGAAAAATTCCGCAATCCAGCTCACTTTCCAGTTCAGCTATGTTGTCCTAGATTGTTCACTTCTCCTGCCTTCTCCAAAACACTCACCCTTTTGTGAATAACCCTGTCTGTCTCCAAATGAAGTACAGTTGTACAGTATCTATACTGTTTCAACCCTGTCTGTTTCTTCTAGTGGAAACACACTTTTTATGCTTAGTTACATGGCACTGGTTTGGTTTATATGAATTTATATGAATTAACCTTGTATTTAAGCAAGCTGTGCTACTACTGAATCTCGGTTTCTTTTATTTTACAGGATGACTACCAGGAATATGAACCAGAAGCATAACATCCCTCAGCCCTGGACCCAGCCACCAGCAGCATCAGCACAAAGATAGCTATAATAAAAATAATAATAAAAAAAATCTCCCCTCTCCTCTGCCCTCTCCTTCCCAAGAGGAGTGTGAAGTGCACCCCCTCTTCTCCCAAGAAATGAGCTCTTCCTTCACTACACCTCCAGAAAGCCTCATGTGAAGTGATTTCATGTATGGTAATCCTTAGCGTTGAGTCATTAGTCCAAACAAAACTGGTGTTTAAATTTAAAAAAAAAAAAAACCCTTTGTAATGTATGAACCCATGAATGCATTGTATTTGTCTTTGCAGTACTTGTGCCCCCGGACAATTATTTCTGTTTCCCTCCCAGAGAATAATTTCCGGGGGTTTTTATGGTGGATTTTGTCACTCATTATTTTGTAACCTTTTATTTGTTTTGGTGTGTAAGCTTGTTCTGTGGCAGGGGGGCCTGCAACCCTCTGCAACTGAGCCTGCAGGTATTTTTCTGCGTCTACCAATATAAATAAAGCATGTTTTACTTTTTATAAAGAGAAGGTGGAAACACCTATAAATGCTTTTTCCTCCTAAGTGGCTGCCTAGTATGGGTAGTCGTTGAGATAAGGAAAAATCACACAAAAAATTTAGCTGTGGATGAATGACCTTTGACATAGTTTATTCAGTGTTCTAATGTGATATTTATTTTGCTGTTTTTTTATACATATATACACACATATCGACAAATATATAAATGGTTTAACTTATTTGTGACTGTTCTGTAAAACAGATTAAAATCTGTGATATTCCATGCAGAATCTTTTCAATGTCCTTGTGTTCCAAATAATTTTGCAAAAGGAATAAAAAAAAGAAAATTAATCTAAATCAGAACAATGCTGTGAGTTTTTTAAATTTTGTTTGGCAGCATCACCAATGAATTAGTAAATCACTGAAGTTCTTATTGCATCCTGGGAAATCTACAATTCAAAGGAGCACAATGATCCCATAATGTATTGTGGCAATACACCTCTACTAACACTGAAGCCTGAAGGACAACTGTTGGAACTGACACAAACAGATTTCATATTCTTTTATAAGATAAACCTTTTTTTTCCCCCATGGTCCTTTGTGTGTTTTAAAGTAGCCACTGTAGTAGTTTGTCTCTAAATAAAATTACAGTGTCTGTATCCACTGAAAGCAGAACAGTCCAGTAGAAAGCAGAGGGAGGCGCCCAAGAAGCATTAGGTGCACATCGTGATGATGGTTACCCAAGGGTGGCACGATCTGGGATTGGGCTCGGAGTCCAGTAGCTGAAACAGCAGGAAAATTGGTGGTATAAGAGGCCCGGGTCGTTATACAAGCAGTCAGTAGATAGGAGCAGGCAGAAGCATTGTCAGAGTTCAAGCCAAAATCAAGCTGCTATCCAAGGTTCCAGGTGGCTCAGCAGGAAGAACCATTGCCAGATACAGCAAAGGCCCTTGGTTCAGATCCGGATACTGACAGTACCCCCCTCCTTCCAGGATGGCCCCTGAACATCTTAGGGTGTGGTTTGTGAGGAAATCTCTGATTAAATTCTCTTGTTAGTTTAGGTGCATGAATTTTCTTCTGGTTCGTATCCTTACCATTGCACTAAATATTGCAATTTGTTCTTGAATATTCTGGAGTCTAGAATTTTTCAACCACAAATTCCTCTTCGCCTTTTACATCAACAGGTGGCGGGGGTTGAAGTACTCTCCCTGAAAAAGGTTTTTCATGAAAAGATTTGAGTAATGAGACATGAAAGACAGGATGAGTCTTCATGCTGCCAGGAAGTTTTAAGTGGTACTTGACAGGATTGATTTGAGCAGAAATGTGAAAAGGTTCTGAGGCTCCTTCAGTGTTTCAGTTAATTTTTCTCCTATAATGCAGTCAATCTGTTTGTTACAGCATGAATTGCAGTTGAGATACAGAGGTTAGGAATAAAAAAAATGGTGATAACCGGTATTTACGTAAAAAGGGCTTAGTGAAGTGGAGCTGGGTTTAGAATTATTATAAGAGAGTTCTGCTGTAGGAAGATAATCTACCCAGTCATCCTGTCATCCAGTCATAGCTGACAAAACACTGCAGATACTGCTCCAGGGTTTGGTTAGTCCTCTCAGTTTGACCGTTAGATTGAGGATGAAAAGCAGAGAACAAATTATTTGTAACTCCCAGGGCTGTGTAAAAACTCTTCAAAAATTTTGAGGTAAATTGCACTCCTGTCAGATACTACATTATCAGGGATTCCTTGCAATCTAAATATTTCTTAAATCATCAGCCCTGCAGTTTGTTTAGCAGTGTATACCCCCTTGGTTGGGATAAAATGAGCCATTTTGGTGAGGCAGTCGATGACTACTAAGATTGTGGTCATCTCTTTAGAGGGAGGCAGATCAACCACAAAATCCATAGAAACTGACCCCCAAGGTTGTTATGGGACTGGAAGTGGTTGGAGTAAACCCACAGGGGAAGATCGGGGTGTCTTATTATGTGCACAAGTCAGACATGAAGCAACATAGTTTTTTACATCTTTTTTGTAACCAGGCCCTCAAAAGGAATGAGACAAAAATTCTTCTGTCTTCGTAGCCCCAAAATACCCTGAAAAGTAAGAGTCATGCGCCAGCCTGAGGAATTCTACCCGAGCAGATTCAGCTACATGGAGATGGTGGCCATAAGTCTAAAAGCCGTTCTTAAAAGGTGAATTTAATGTCCTTGGGAGGGTGGTTGCAAAATGGGTCATTATTGTAGCCGTCTTTAAGTATAGACAGAAACTCTTTGAAATTCGTGGCTCCTAGGAAGTTCTTTTGAGGCAGGATGGTACAATCAGGGTTGCTTTCCTGAAGGGGCTCAGACCAAGTCCATGATAAGGCATCTACATTTCCATTTTTTGACCCAGGTCGATATGAGATAACAAAGTTGAACCTGGAAACAAACAAAGCCCATCGTACTTGTCTAGAGGACAGCCTTTTGGCAGAACAGTTGAATTTCAGTTTTTATGATCAGTGAGCACAGTCACAGGGTGATTGGCAGGGCCGGTGCAAGGATTTTTGCCAACTCAGGCGAAGGTGCATTTTTCCGCCGCCCACGCGCGCGCATGCACACACACACCACTCCAACATCCCCATACAGCATACATTATATCTGTGCTGCATTAAGCTTGAGTGGTTCTGATGCTTAAAGTGATCGTTTAACTTATTTTTCTTTTACAGAGAAAGATAAACAAACTATTTGTGGTTTTGTAAAGTGCATTTTATCAACAGTTGTTCAATAAAATAATGTAAATGATAATACTAGCAGCTACACACACACACACACACTGGTGCGTCCCTACTTAATATAATCTATTGCTGGGACTTGTAGTCCTACACAGTTGGTGCTATTCTGCATCGCTTTATAAACATTATACAGCAATGCAAAATACCACCAGCTATATATGACTACAAGTCCCAGCAATACATAGAAAATGTAAATAATCATAACAGCTTTTTAGCCCCCCCCCCTCTACGCGCCCCCACACTGGCCTTACCTGACTCCTGCAGCAGGCGCAGCTGCTTCATCCTTGGCGGCCAGGGGGTGGGACTGAGTGGAGAGGATCCGTACTCTTCCAGCTAAGAATGTGAAGAATGTGCTGCCTGGCGGTACCTGTTGTGTCGGAGCCCGCCAGGCAGCCAATTGACAGGCGCAGCTTCCTCTCCTTCCCCGCACAGTCGCCCGTACATTCAGAGTGCGGAGGGGAAGGAGCGGCACTAACCGGAAGGGTGATACAGCGTGAGGAAGCTTCGTGCCCTCTGCTTCCTCTCTGGGCCCCTCCCCAACAGGCAGAACGCCATGGCCCGGTCACAATTGCGACCGCTGTGACCCTGGTAGTTCCGCCAGTGCTACCAATACCTGCTGCTTGGGACCAGGAGATAGTGACAGTGTGGGGATAGTGAGTTACAAAAAAAAAACACACTCCTTCCTCACCGCGCTCTGAATGTACGGGCGGCTGTGCGGGGAAGGAGAGGAAGCTGCGCCTGTCACTTGGCTGCCTGGCGGGCTCCGACACAACAGGGACCGCCAGGCAGCACATTCTTCACGCGTGGCAAAACTTTGCCAGCGTTGCATTCCACTGCAAATTCAAAAAATAGGGCTTGCCCTATTTTTTGCGTTTGCAGTTAAATGCAACGCTGGCAAAGTTTTGCCACGTGGTCGATCACACTGTGGGCGGGGGTGGAAGCGGTGCCATTGAATACAATGCATTGCCACGCCCCCTCTTGTCCCAAAACGCGGGGGGGAGTTTCACAGCGATCGCGGTGTGTTCCAGCAGCTACTGCTCTGGAGCGCACACGCTTTCGGTGTGAACAAGCCCTTACAATTCAGGAGGAGGCAGAAAGGAGAGAGACAAGAAAGACAAACATATAGACATGGTGCAGGCATCTTAGATCTTACAATTAGGAAGAGGCACAGTGGGCAAAGATGAAAAAAAAACACCAAACATATAGACATGGTGCAGGCATCTTACGATTTTATGATCAGGAAGAGGAGAGTGGGGTTTTTTTTTTCGCCATCTCTCCCCACTTTGCCTCCTCCTGATCATAATAAGTTGCCTACAGCATGTGTAACACATGGTTCAGGCAGCTTACGATCGGTAGGAAGCAGAGTGAGGAGAGATGAAAAAAAAACATATAATACACATTGTGCAGAGGCAGCATACAATCAGGAGGAGGCAGGGTTAACACTTACCTAAGCAGTCCAAGATGAGCACACTCCACAGGGGAGGGACACATTCAGAGATCCAGAATCCAGATGGCAGCAGTGCAATCACAGTGAATTGCGCACTGTACGGACACAGGCAGCATGTGACACAGGCAGCATGCTCAGCTGGCCAGACACCAGAGAGAAGCTATTGGTGGCGAAATGATGTAACCCTAGAACTGCATCTGGGTTCGTTCAAACTCACTTTTATTCAATTTTATGTAAATTCTGCCTCAGTCATTCAAGGATGATGGAAACATTCAAGGATGATGGCAACATGCTTGTGATGCTCCCACAGATTTTCTGAAAAGATAAGGATATCATCCAAATAGGCAATAGCATACTGGTC